GATGAAACGGGGGTTGATGGATGGGGAATTTAATTCTCCATTGAACAGTCTTTGTTTCATCCCTTAATATTAATTAGTCGGCGAATAAATCAACTGAAAAACATAAAGTAAACATTGAGTACAAGGAGGACAAAAATACCTCTCCGAACCTGTCCCTGTCACAGCGGGACTGCTACTGCCGAGTTACTCACGCACCCGACTCACATTTACCGACAATTCGACCGGGACGCCGCCTTTCCCGTGTGGTACGAACTAACATTTTTGGAGTCAGTCAAACCCCCCGATCCGGGCCTCTACTCAGGTCTATCCTCTTTGGTCAAACCCCCCGATCCGGGCCACTACTCAGGTCTATCCTCTTTGGATCAGTCATTGGCCCCGGTATTTTTCATCCAATAGAACCCCTTCTAGCTTTTTTTTGCATTTCGCCATGAAGTTTAAATTAGTAAGCATATATTTTTCATTTACCCAGTCCTCATCTATTGGAAACATTCAAAAAATATAGAGTATCAGATACGAATGGTCGGACGAAAAATAACTCAGAAGTTTGCATGCAAAGGAGCTGTTATATTTTATAATTTAATTTTTCATTCATTCACTGGATGTGAATTGATGATTTTTCAACACCAGAGAGGAACATAATTGTTAATTACACGAAAATTAACCTTCTTAAGGGGAGACCGCGGTGAAATTTGAAAGTCCCAGGGGGTTGCCTCTATCCTGCTGATAACTTTAATACATATTTTTCATACTCAAAAAATGAGAAAAAACCGACCTTCAATTTTTTTCATATACCGCATGAGATTGTACAGTCATGGAATCTACAAAATAGTCCCCTTACCAGGGTTTTCGATGGATTGACTTGAATTTTGGTTTCCGTGCACAAAATATACTAACAAAGAAAGTTGTTAGAGCGTTTTTGAAAATTCAGATTTTTCGAGTAGTAAAATGCAAAGTAAAAACATGCACAATTCATAATTCTAAAATGGAAAATGCAAAATGAATGAACGAAAAAATCTGAAAAAAATTGTAGTTCATTGGTGTATCATGGCCTTCAATTCGTACCATTCTAGCATACGATGGTCTTCACCAATCCTGAGAAAAAAAATTGAAAACCTCGAAAAATGGGAATTTTCAAAAACGCTCTAACAACTTTTTTTATTAGTATATTTTGCGTGTGAAAACCAAAATTCAAGTCAATCCATCAAAAACCCTGGTAAGGGGACTATTTTGTAGATTCCATGCCTGTACAGTCTCATGCTGTATATGAAAAAAATTGAAGCTCGGTTTTTTCTCATGTTTTGAGTATGAAAAATATGTATTAAAGTCATCAACATGATAGAGACAACCCTCTGGGACTTTCAAATTTCACTGCGGTCTCCCCTTAAGATTGAAAAACAAATAAGAGCAATTAAGGTTAGAAAAGAGTGAATCAAAGGCCGCTGTTTTTAATGGACAATATCTCAACACGAGCGGAAGACAATTAAGCGGATTTTACATGTGTTGTTTGCATATCGTGAGTTCAGATTATTAGAAAAATTCATGAAATTTCATCATTCTGGCCCACTCTCCGCTCGGAACTACATGACTGAATCGGAGTTCTGAATGCTAAGTCACCGCTGAACCTCAGGTACCGGCTTGTGCGACTGTAAACTGGGATGGAGCGGGTGTAACGCGACGTGACAAATCCACTGACAAGTCGAGGCTCAGTTCTCGCTCCAAGCGCGTCTCTCGAGTTGAAAACCCGGTCAAATTTCTTCACGGGTATCATTCCTACGTTAGTGCAAACCGCGGTTTTTATCCACAGTAATTGTGTTTAAAGGCTCCTGAGTATCATAAGTCCACCAGAAATCTCTGATCTGTAAGAATACACCGAAATTGCTCCATTCCATTGAAAGATTAACATTGTTCATCCCCTCCCATTTTTCCTCATAAGATTAATAGAGAAGAAATTATAAAGATTTTTAGAGATAGAATTTTTCAATTTTTCGAAATTTGTTTTAGTATTAAAATAAATTTGTCCGTTGAATTTTCTAGTAATAATACCTTAAGAGCTACAAAATTTATGGAGTATTTCTCATCTCAATAGCTTTATTGCAAACAAATGAGACGTTCAAATTTTTCTATCCTAAACAATGCCCGAAATTGCACGAGGCATTCTCTACAAAGCTAAACATGATTGCTTGATTGTAGGGGGGATTGAGAGGAATACCAGATAATTATTGAACTCGAGGGGTATTTGTCGGATTATTTGTAGAGAACGCATCGCGGCCCGGTTAAATATATTTGGAGTTACAATTTTGAAAACAAATGACGAGCTAATGTACCGGACCCGAAAGCTAGTATGCAATATTCCGCCAATCCATCACGTGACACCAAATACATACTGCATTCAATCGCTAATGATTCACTCTCGAGAAAGAATCAATTAGATTTCCTATAAAAGTGATCAGATCCCTTGAATGCAAGTGGTGGTAATTAGAGCCCAGGATTCGTGTGATATCAATTGTGACTGACAATTAAAAGATTGTTGATAATTTTAATGTCACAAACTGCCAAGTTTTGGTGATGATAAAGATCAATGTATTTTGCTTTTAAAAAAATCTGAGTGCTTCTATAGGAAATTTATTTGAAACATTTAAGGGATCGGTGGCTCATTTACCTCTCAAAGCCGTTCAATTTTCAATTCCTCAATCTCGGCGTCTGTTTAACCCTCACAGCCTCTTAAATTTCAATTTTTCTACATAACTCTCCTATTTCACTGTTTCCATCGCTTCTCGTAGAATGAAACTAGTTTTACAACTCGTTTTCAATTGAACTCTCTGACGAGAAAGTTCTATCCATCGTAGCGAGCGCCAGTGAGGAGAATGGACAACCGTGCTTTGAAGTGGTGTACGGCGATGGACGATCTTGTCAGGGTCTTGGAAATTTTTATTCCATCACCTGGTCCACTTGTGCTCATTCGCCCTCAAGCAATTGTGAAGATAGCTCACATAGAACATTTAAAATCACTTGAAATCTTGAAATTGAGAAAAACTAAATGAAATTGGATGAAACTGTGTGATTACATATAGTATAATTGATTTCGATCGGCGTCATCTCTCGATGCTTGATGAACAATTGAAAATACTATTTTTCTATGTGGACTTCACTTTCTTAACTCACTTTAGTCACGAGCTTTCTTACTCTGATTTATTGATAGAAGGCCAAAATATCTACCAATATATCTAGCTATTTTCATTCTTTTATCCCAAATCAGCAAACAAATATAAATCTTAATGACGATGTTTTTCCAATAATTTCCACTTTATGTCGTCGCAGGACGAAATTTCATTAAAGTTTTTGTTTTCAACAATCATCTCCGCCCAACCCGTAAGCCTTACAATTTCCTTACAATATGTACCTCCACTAGCGGGATACCATGAAATACATGAATAGTTAGAATTGAAACTGTTCATGTATTGAATAGAAGACATATTTCATTACAGAAGATTGGCTCTATGGCCAGTAGAAGCTCATCAAAGGATTATTGCTGCCAACGAGTTGAAAAACCGAAAAAATCCAAAAAATTTCGAAAGAGGTTTCTCTTTGATGACAGCTCCAAGTCAGTCATCCCCGAACGAACTCTCAGGGATCGAAAGAGAAGGAAAAAACTTGAAGATTGTCATCCTTACAACGTCGTAGGTAAGAATAATAAAGAAGATTCAAATTCTGGTTTCTTGAGTATAAATGAAAAAACTATATGACGGAAATGCTCGACTCTTTCAGATCCAGAGAGTGACAATAATGAAACAAGTGCGACAAGTGATGAAGAATTGGTATTTGAGTCTTCTTTTGTGAATGATAGGATTAATGATATGGCAACATCTGAGACAGACAATGCCGTAGACAATGAACTAGAGAATGCCCCTTCAAGGCGCGATCTCCGTTATCCACATAGCGATGAAAATATTGGACTTGCGAGTGACGATCATGTTACTGATGACTATGAAATCTCTCAGGAAGTTTTAACTGATAATTTATTAAATTCAGAAGACAGTTCTTCCGCAAACAGCGATAACGACGAAAATAATGGCGTCTTTTATGACGACTCTAGCGAGGATTCGACGTCGGATTCAGAGTCCACATTGCATTTTCATACAAATTCAGTTCAGGGTAACCGAACAATATTCCCTGCAACCCAATTAAAAGTCGCAGATGTTTTATTAATGATAATAAGTCTATGCGCTGCAGCACGTCTTACTCAAGACGTTCAAAGTCATTTGGTGGAGATGATGAAGATTTGTGCTGGACCGGATTTTGAATTATGGAATGCTTCCAACCATTATCTGTCTCAAATTTATAACCCTTCACGGGATAAGATGACTGCTCATTTCTTCTGCAATGAATGCGGAACGATATTAATATCAAGACCTTTAAATCATAAAATTCCCGATGAGATGATCGTAACGTGTGAAGACTGTGGACTGCAGAAAAAAATAAACAAAAATACTCCACACCAATTCTTAACTATCGATATGAAATATCAACTAAATCTGCTTCTGAACGAACCAGATCTACAAGAGGACATGATTGAAACTGTAAGGAGTTTAAGAGAGAGGCCAGATGATATGATCAAACGTGATATTTTTGACGGTGACCTGTATAAAAATATTCAAAAACATCATCCTGGAACATTAACGTTTAATGTTAGCACTGATGGAGCTCCACTGTCAAAAAGTGGCTCACGAAGTTTCTGGCCAATCCAATTGCATGTCAACGAAATGTCAACCAAGAACCGATTCAGTCATATTCTTTTAGCTGGACTGTTTCTTACAGATACGGAACCGAACTCTAAATTCATGGATGCTTATTTTTCTGCATTTTTTTAAGAAACTGAACGTTTAAAGACTCGCGGAATAACTTTCACCCGTCATTCCACTGGAGAAGAATATAATTTCAAGTTCCATTGTTTGCTTTTTCCTATGGATTCATCGGCTCGACCCGTAGCACAAAATCGCCGAAAATTCAATGCATATATTCTGGATGTAGCTGGTGTTATGAGAAGGGCGTCTAGCTATGTAATTCCGTTAGGTTCTTACTGTCGAGTCCTCAAATTCGAACACATGAATCACATCTTAAAGATATCAGAGATGCACAGAAAACTGGATTGGAAATGAACGGAGTTAAAGGTCCTACGCCCTTTTCACGACAAGACCATGTGGACCTTGTGTGGTCTTTTCCCCCCGATTATATGCATGGTATCCTTCTCGGTATTGTAAAATCGTTATGGGTAATGTGGAAGCGACAAGGCTGTTTGTCTGCAGCCGATCGTCGTCAAATTGAGAAACGTTACGTACAAATCAGGCGACCACGCGAGATCCATCGTCGACCACGAACATTGAAAGACATTGCAAAATTCAAACCAACGGAATGGAAATCTTGGTTGCTATATGATAGTGTGCCATGTTTGGAAGGGATTCTTGATGAAGACCGATGGAAATCCTACTGCTTACTTGTCGACTCTGTTGCAACGTTCCTAAAAACTCGAATTACTCTAGAAGAAAAAGATCGATGCGATATACAATTATTGCAATTTTTTGGTGACAGTCAGAAATTCTATGGGCCTGAGATAATGACGTTTAATTTTCATATCGCATTACATGCTGGAGAGGCGATAGATCGATGTGGCCCTTTGTGGTGTTATTCCACTTTCCCATTTGAGAACGGTATTTTTCATTTCAAGGGACACGTTTTATCTTCGACCGGCGTGACTCTTCAAATGACCAATAAACACCTCAAACATATGGTACTCAAATCAAATATCCGAAATAACACCACAAGCCCAGCATGTCGTGATTTTTGTTTGAACCTTTGGAAACCAAAATTATTGAGAAAGTACCTTCGAACCGAAAACGATTTAATTCTAATTGGGGCTGCACACGATAGTAAACGGATATCGACATTGTTCTCAAAATTCCTCCATTGCACAGGAAGAAAAATCAAGTTATACAAACGATCCATTTTTAGAGACATGGTGTTACGAAGTATCAATTACAACCGCTCGAAAAAAACAAATGACACCGTTGTAAAACTGAGAGACCACAAATTTTTCCGTATTCATAATTTTATTTACGATGGTAGTAAAGGCTATGTCCATGGACGACAGATATCTGCCTCCATTTATGAATACAATGGAGTAATAATTCATCACCTGTTCCGAGTGACGTGTTGTAATGGACCGGAATTGATTATTGATCCCAACGAGATTGAAGAAAAACTTATATTTTTCACTATTGATGATAAAACGTATATTGCCTGTTTCCCCAATAATGTTGAAATTCAGTGATACGAAATATTTCATGATTCTATCCATACCTCGTAATTCGTTATCCATCAGCAGAAAATTTTATTACTGAACGATTCTTGAGGAGTTCGAGAACTAATGGAAGTGGTACCAATGGATATGAGAGTGCAGAGCATATTTAATCCTTTTATGAATGAATTATGCCAATGGCTCTAGAGGACAGTCCTTATAATCCAATTATTAGAGAGTGATTGAATGAGAAATTGATGAGAATTAATGAGGGGAAAGCAGGGGTTTAAAATATTGTACTTTTTCTGTGAAAGCGTCGATTATTCCTTGAATCACGTCCAATTCTGGAATTATGGATAGAAGGAAAGAAATGTCCAAATATGACTTCTTTCCTCATGTACATAAACCGGTTCTTGTTTTAAAGTAATAGTTATTTTCATCACAAGGTCCACAAAGTATTTTCTGATGAATGTGGCTTTGTATAATCACATTCGTCAGAAAATACTTTTGGACCGTGTGATGAATGCAATTTTTCGTCAGAAGGCCCGTAAACCGCGATCAAACCGAGCGAAGGTTAGAATCGCGGTTTACCGGGTCTTCTCACGAAAATATATTTGTGTACTCTTCATGTATCTATTCGCTCATTCCTATATGTTTATGAATTAAAGAGGGAGGATAGTGCATTAAATCCGAATATTTTTAATAGAAATATGAAAATAACTGAACCTCTCCTACATATGATCTACCCTAACCAGTGTTCCTTCTTGCCGCATTTAGTTCCTCTTTTTTTTCACTAAAAAAAATGTTGACATTGAAAAATTGTAAATCACCCAATGTTTTTTCATGCCGCAATTATTTCCATAGAAAGGCATTAGATTCAATACTTCATGATAATCCATTGAAATTTTTCAATGCAAGAAAAAATTCAGTAATACAAGAACGTCCATGAGCCACCATCAGTCATCTCTGCATTCTGAACATTCAATAAGTTGAATTACGATCGACCATTTGCCATCTTATACTGCAGCATACTCAGTGAGTCTACATTGATAATAGTCTTGGAATGAGTGAATGAGTTTGGTATGTACCTCCCTTGGTTCCTATAGCATTGGATTTCTCGAATTGAATAGCGACCATTGAGTAATTGATTGAGATTCAATTTAAACTTGTGTTCTTTGTATTTTTGAATTTTGGTATTTTGAAAACTAGTGGAAAATGTGTTTTCTCCTAACAAATGCCAGAAGTATGAATTTTTCATTCTCTCAATTTTCAGGCACATCCATCAAAACAATACGCTGCGAGTAATAGTGGATCGTCTGAAGGGGATTTCAATGATTGTATTGACATGATAAAAAATATTCGCAACGATATTAATGAAGTTCGACGTAATTTATCTGCCTTTCGAAAACATGTGGAGACGAAATTCCTACAGGATAACTTGAGACAGTTGAGAAGTAATAATAAATACAGAAGAAAAAGGAAACGGTGTTTTTGTCAAAATCAATCGGTAAAGCGCACCTTGGTGCACGAAAATTGGCGTCGGTGGACGAAAAAACGTAGACTTTCAATTAAAAAAAAGCAGTTTTCTTAGTGAAAACGGTGGTTCTTGTCGGCCGAAGCACGCCCTACCGGTGGATGTTAGGCAAAACTCCTCAGATGTCAGATCTTTCTCCGTTTCCTTTCTTTCCGTACATAATTTGAGGTTATAATATTAAATGGCTTTATAATCGAGCATGAAAATCATTGAAGGTACGCCACTTCAAGATCCCCGAGATGGTATGAAACGCTTCGGTATGCCCCCTGCAGTTGGATTTTGCCGCATTAATGAGGAAGGGGTAAGTTTCCACACAGACTTAGACTGTAAAACCTCTAAAGCCGAGATAACATCGATGTAATCGTGACAATTCCAAATGGCTATAGGTAATAGTAACTGAAGTATATAGTCTAGAGGACTCAGTAACGTGATTTAGCTCTTCCGTGCTCCAACCCAAGCTCCTAGAACGTCATGCGATGAATTTTTTCGTTTCCTGTGTCATCTCAACCCTTCAACACTCGCACAAGGAAGATATTCCCACCACTATAAAATTTTTTCATTCCACGATTGCTCGATTCGAGATTTTTTGTGTTGTTGCTTTCCAATTCTTTGCTCGAATTCATTTCCCGTTCCCGTTATATCTATAATCTAGCCTCGGCTATCAGTTTCCACTGGTTTGTTTGCACATTCTCAATGGATTTGTTGATAAAAAGGTTTCATAAACTGTCCGTCAATCAATGAAGGGGATTTCAAAATTGATATTTTTGTCTTCTCGAATTACCTTCATTAAACACGATGTAACATCACAACGTAAGTAATCTCTTCCCCTACATCACGAATTATCGCAAATCACACAACCTCCTCTCCCCACCATCGCAAATTGTGGTAAATTACACAATCCCCCGTCCCTTCCTCAAATGTGCGGCTCTCCTTTTCTTAACCCAGGATTCTTGATTTCAATATCCGACGATACTTGATTTGATTGGATTATTATTACTTTGAGAACCTAAAATACCGGATTACAGAAGTGAAATGCCTTGATTAAAGTACCATGAACTCTGAATTTCAGTAGGAATTTGCCGAAAAGCTTTTCATTTCCCCGATTCCCGAAGGAAATTCTTTTAGCATTTGTGAAAATTGCACTGAGATCCAGTGATTAATCATGGAAAACAACAGCTCTTTAGTATGTCTCCGAAGAAGTCAACAATCCAGGTTGGAATAATATGGAAACATGGTGCAAAACGTGAATATGTGATTGTTATGTTATAGGAGGAAACAATTCATTTGGGCCAGGGTGTATGGATACTAAAAACAAAATATGATAATGCCAAGAAAGAACTCAGAAGTGAGGGGCATTTTGTCAAGAATATCAGTGTTGCAATCATGGGTGAGGACCTCCAGCTAATGAGTGTGACCGGTAAAAAGGGGCCACGTGCACTGGAAAGGAAGCCAGCAATTTCTCCACATATATTAATGGCTATAAGAGGTATTACTTAGATCAGTTAAACCGTTGATATCAACCCTTGTTAGGATATTTCACGCTATAAGCCTGTAATGGTTTGTAATTATTGCGACATGGAGCATACAGGAAATTTTAGTGCGAAGAAAATGAGAGTTTTCAAGTATTCATACGCCATAAAAGACCAGAAATGGGGCAACGTGTAGCAAATGCTAAAATACATCATACACTAATACTATTTTTCGTCAATAGGCGGAAATAAACTTTTCTGATACATATGAATTTCCACCACGAGTCGTAGGCCGGGGTTGCAATCATATGAACAAAAAATTTTTTTTTCGGACGCTGCGTACCTGTAAATTGCTGTTTACGGGGAAAAATGATAAAAAAAATAACGTTCGTCACTCGCTTAAAAAAAAACTTTTCTAGCTCATATGATTGCCTCCTGCTCGTACTGCAAACTCATATTGGCCGGCAACGTTTTTTTTCGGACTCATTCACCAATGCTTAGTTGGAGTATAGCCGTTTTGGGAAAGTTTTTCATGTTTATTTTTTCATACTAAATCGATTAACCGATGAGGAGAACTTTCTTCATTTATAAAATTTTCACGATTTTTCAATTTTTTTTTCTTCAGTTCTCATCCTCCAAAAAATCAATGTGTATATTTATTGTACCTATTTCATTAATTAGTCTCAAGATTATTCTATGCTAACAAATTTAATATTGAAATTAATGTTCATTTGCAATTTTCAGAAATTTATCAGTTTTATCTGATTAACGACCTGAAATAGATAGACCAGAAGAAAATAATAAACGAAATTGATAATATCAAACTATACATAAGAGACAAGATCAAGGACATGGCTGCACCATCAAAATCCAAAAAAAAATAGGAACAATACCTAAACGAACCGATATACCCAACAAATTGACTAATTTAATGAGCAAACTTGAATATCCAAGTATTCATACGTGTTCTCTATTCAATTGATCATTCAGTTATCACCCAGACATTTATGGAACGCAGATGGATCAATTGATTCAAAATGATGTGAATTGTTTACAACTAGATCTATATATATGTGACTATGTCAGCTCTAACTACTTCGTTCTCTCCAGGCATGCCATGATAATGAATAAATGATAAATTTGAAAATATTCATTCGACTATTGCTTGGCATTCCTTCTCATATAATTCAATAATCATTTATTCCTCTACCTAAATACAAGAGAGATTGTGCAACTGGTGAAAACAGGCATTACCTGAAGCCCATATGATTCTGAAAATACATTGCAAATCTGTGTTATGTCCAAGTATATGCATAAAAAGAATTCACCTACCTTTCTGGAGTTTCTACCGAATCTCCTGCGAACTTCTAAATTCACATGAAACTTATCACTTTCAGTATATACACTATGAGTGAATCATCAGCAATGAGATGGCAGGGAATTACTATCACAGGAATACCTACGCCTGATGAGCATAGTTGAAATGAGATTGCAGTAACTTACTTCCCTGTAAAGGGAATTATACACATAGATTAGTCCTTCCAATGTAACCTCACTCTATCTCACTACTCTGAAATAGAAATAATTTTTTTAGTTTTTCTGTTTTTTTTTCTCATGAAAAACATCCAACATAGATACGGAAAAGAATTATTGCCATATAGCATTGCACTCATTTCTCAATTACACAACCAACTACCATTGCATTCTTGTTCGAAAATTAATCGCCTTCACTCTCAGCTAGTGTCAATTCAGTAACTAACGAGGAAGAGAGCTAAAAACTGGTTATCGAAAACGTTCTGATACAGAAATGGTACGGGAATGTTCTCATTAAATCCTATTCAGTTCCATTTTCCAATCTTTTTCCTTATATACAAGTAACAAAACTATTCTCAACGACTGTTGGATCAGTTCAGCAGCATTGCACTCATCTTCCTAGTACACTATCTGTTAACACCCACAGGCGAAACAATAATCACTAATTCTGACGCTCATTAAATCTCATTATGCCGTGTTGTGAAATTAATTGATTTACATCCAGATTCTGGTCATTTAATAAGTGGAATTTGACCATATGTTTGAATGTATAATGTGATTTTACAAAATATAGGTAATAATTCTACTTGAACCTCTTCAACAAAACCGTTTTTCATATCGTCATAGTATACAACGGTATATGCATTACTTCTTCATTGAAATTTCTCAATCATGTTTCCCCTCAGCAGATTCACAAACTATGCACGACTTCTGCAGAATTATTCCAGTAGGATCGTCCTTATTCACCTACTACTACGTCTATCTGCTAAGCCCTATTATTGAAAACATTGTATGAGGAATAGATCTCATTTGGACTAAATCTCATCGCACCGTATTTTCAAATTAATCGATTTTCACCTCCGGACTTATCAATTTCGGAAGTGGTTTTTTTGTCATACTTCGAAAACTATATGATTTACCAAGAAACTATATGATTTACTATTGACTGGAAATATTTTTCTTATCGCAATAGGATTTGGAAATTGATTTGGAAACGATCCTCAGCGCCTAAAAAATTATTCCAATAACATAGCCTTCATCTCCGTGCTAAACCGTCTGCTGAGCCCTGTTATTGGAAAAATTGAATAAACGATAGGTCAGAGTCCCACTAGTCTCATTACATAGTGTTTTCGAAAAAATTAATTTTACTCTCAGATACTATTAATTCAAAGAGTGGAATTTTTTAATATGTCGGGGTATGTATGGTTTTACAAGGAATAAAGGATAATTACACTGAGATTTTCTCTTTGAAAAATCTCCATTAAATCTTCTTCATTTCAATTTGTCAATTTTATTAACCCTTGGATTTCACCTTTAGATCGTATTAACTGAAGAAGTCATTTTTTTTCTGTATTCTAGGATGACTATGGCTCAAAAAGAAGTGAGGAATACTATTGAAGTAAGCAATATTTAATCTATTGTTTATTCCTCTACTGCGTCACACATTCCTTGGTTCTTTCTCTCGGGGTATTTGTGTAAACACATGCGTTAGGCCTGTGCCTCACTCGACACGCAATAAAATAGAACAGCACACTCTTTCAGAGAAATGGTCACAAAGGACCACCATAGAGGCCAAAGGCTAGAGGTAAAGGAGCACTGCAGTTTTCTTCTAAAAGTCAGTCTCTCATAATGAGAGGAGGCGTGAAGACCTCTTGAATAAAGATATAGATTTTCATTTTAACAAAGTGTTCAGAGTTATTTTACATGGTTCCTACCCATATTCCAATAGGTTATGGGCCCAGGCACTCGAATAGTTGATTAATTATTTTAAAGAAATTACAGTGTTTAATCATTTAGTCGTTATCTAATTTAATTGAGTTTAAAGTGATAAAATAAATATTCTATTTGAGTTTATCTCGAACACATTTGTGCAAGTGAGAGTTTCGAAAGACAAATTAAATAATCCGGACACATCAGTGCATTAGTGATTTTTATCAAAAATGACTGACGAAGAAAAACCGTCAAGAAGAGCAATTAAGCTTTTCGATGGCGAAAACTATAGGATCTGGAAGTTCCGTATTCGCGCTCGAATTGAAGAGAAGAGTGATTTAAAAGTGATTGACGAAGAACCACCCCAGAATAAAGATGAGGACTGGATTGAGTGTGAAAAGATCGCCAAAGGGATAATTGTCGACCACCTCCATGATTCCATGGTCGGTTTCGCGACTGACTATGGAACTGCACGTCAATAATGTAAAGAACTTGATTTAATTTATGAACGTAAAAGTTTGGCAAGTCAGTTGGCCGTAGAAAAGAAAATATTGAGTTACAAATACCAGGGTGACATTCCACTAACAAAACATTTTGCAATTGTTGATTCAATGCTCGTGGACCTTTTCGCCGCAGGATTTCCACTGAACGAGATGAGCAAAGTGGCCAGACTGCTGTTAACACTACATAACTCATATGATCCTATTATAACGGCAATTAAAACTATGAAGGGTGATGAATTAAGCCTTGCATTTGTGAAAACAAGGCTCTTGGATCACGAAATGAAATTGAAAGATGAAGCAGCAGAAACGAGTGGAAAAGTGTTACAAAGTGAAGTAATAAAAGAGGGTAATAATGTGAAACAGAATAGTGACGGTAAAAGAAAGTGGAAAAGTAACCGACAAAATTCAAATCGTAAATTCAAGTCATATCCACGACATCAGAGACACTCGAATTCAAGGGGATCTTTTAAGAATAATAATAATAGATACTCCACCAAGAGCTGTGATCACTGCGGAAGGAGAAATCATGAAAAGAAAGACTGTTTCTTCTACAAGCAAAATAAAAATAATGACGATCGAAAAAGAACAGCTCAAAACGTGCAAGCTGAGAGTGATTGTGACGGTTTCGCTTTCATGAGTGGAGTGGGAGAATCATCATACGATGCAAATGATAATAAGTTAGTGTTCCTCTTGGACTCAGGTGCAACCGATCACCTCGTGAATAGACTAGATATTTTCACCACCCTGACAGATCTTGTACAACCTCTGAAGATCTCAATCGCCAAGAAAGGCGAATCAATCAGTGCAACAAAGAGAGGTACCATCGAAGTGACGTCCAACCTTGGATTTACGGGAGTACTTGAAAACGTCCTGTACGCACCAGAGGTACCCCAGAATTTGAGTTCCAAAACTCCAGGAAGCTGGAATGAGCGTCATTTTCGCGGACACTAGGGACATCATAATAAAGAAAGGTCACAAAGTGGTCATTACTGGTAAGACAATGAATAATTTAATATCTCTACAATTCTCAGTAAAAAGAAAAATGTGTAGACAAGCAAATGCTTACAAAAACACATATAAACTCTGGCATGAGCGTTTGGGTCATATTGGACAATCAAAATTACTTAAAATGAAAAGTAATAGTCATCTCTATGACACCAACTTGCTTGAGGACATAAAACACTTGGAAGATTTATGTGAGGCTTGTATTTACGGGAAACAGTCCCGTTTGCCTTTTTCAAGAGAGAGAGATAGAGAACATGTGGCGAGGCCTTTGTATGTCGTCCACTCAGACGTTTGCGGGCCTGTCACACCCTCGACCATTGACGATAAAAATTATTTTGTCACATTCATAGACGAGTATACCCATTACACAGTTGTTTATTTATTAAATCATAAATCTGATGTATTTAGAGTATTTCAAGATTATGTAGCAAAAAGTGAAACACACTTCAATTTGAAATTAGCTTATTTATACTGTGATAATGGGGGTGAGTACCAATCGAATGAGTTCAAGGCTTTTTGTGTACAGAAGGGTATCCAATTCCATTTAACAGTACCACACACTCCTCAACAAAATTCCATTGCCGAAAGAATGAACAGCACAATAGTTGAAAAAGCCCGCGCATTACTTTTTGGTGCGGAGTTAGGCAAAGAATTGTGGGGAGAGGCAGTTCTAACTGCCACATATTTAAATAATTTAACACCAAGTAAAGCCATTCCCCAAGACAAAACACCTTATGAACTATGGCACAATAAAAAGCCAAGATTAAATCACTTAAAGATCTTTGGATCGACTGTGTATGTTCATGATAAAAATCGAAAGAGAAAATTCGATCAAAAATCAATAAAAGGTATACTTGCGGGTTACAGTCAAAGTGGCTATAAAGTACTGAATGTGGATACAAATAAAATAATCATTGCTCCTGACGTCATTATTGACGAAATTAATTACAAAATCACGAGACCCTCTGAACACAGGTGAAGAAATTGGACATAATGAAAGTTCAATCCCAAAACTCCAGAAAAATGATGAAAACAGAAAAATCAGTAAAACTGGTGAAGAGACTCATGAAACTGATATTCTAGAAATCGGTAAAAATCAGGAATACCCTCTAAAAGATAATGAAAATAAAATTGTCGAAGGGTTAAAACCTGATGGAAACTCTCAATCTGATAAGGCTGAAAATGAACTCAGACGAAGTACTCGAATTAAAAATATGCCACTAATATCATATGATGAACAGAGTTATCATGCATGTGCGCAATCAATAACTAATGACAATATTCCTAAATTTTACAATGAAATTAAACATCGTGGTGATAGGTTTCAGTGGGAGCAGGCAATAAAAGAGGA